CCTTTCGGGGTTTCGTTACCGGTTCGGCTCCCAGCCTCCGGCTGCATAGAGAGTCGCTTTTCCGGGCAGATTTTACAGCTCGCTGACCGACAGTCGCATCTTTCGAGCTCGATTCCACCCCTCGTAACCGATGACGTCTCGACATGACGATTAGGTTTAGATGGCAATCGCCGATTACGACATTTCCCGATGACATCGAGTCGAGAGGCAATACGTGTCAGTGGCACTGCTGGTCCTGAAAGACCAGGTCACGGAGGTGGGAGGTGAAGTGAATGGCATTGCATTCAGGAAACGGCTTCTTCAGGGAAGAGCCCTTGCGTAAGCTCCGATGACGACCATACAATCGAGTATTCTATACATCCTGTCTTAAAAATCAGCATCCATCTCCTATTCGCATGATTGAAATCAACGAATAAGAGACACTAATGATAGGGAAGAAGAATGAAATAATGTAGGAAGAGTTGCAAATTATGGAGGGTATTTTTAAACTGTGGGACTTCATAGAGAAATTCATTTAGGATTATGCGAAAATTATGCGGGAATGGAATATGTGCGTTATGTATTGGAATCGTTAATAAGGACGTCGTTAGGGTGGCGCGTCGTGATTTTCGGAAGGCCAGAACGGCGGAAAGGGTAATTATAATTACCTGCGGCGGAAGATCATTAAACCGAAAGTATCGGCTCCGTTAAAAGGGCATTACGGCGACATTTAGCTCGCGTAATTTGGGTCAAGTGTAATCGGTCTTTTTGTGTTTTTACAGTTAAGCGGGCCCGAGCTGAACTGGTAATGCACATCAACTGACATTTATGAAACTTTAACAGGCCATTAAACACAATCGCCATAATTGTAGCACGCAAAATTCCGCTCTGTAACGGACGATAACTTTTAACGACAGTTAAATGAACGTAATTGGTTTTTGTAAATTCTGACATTACCGTTATACGAAGTTCCCTCATCGAATGTCCGTTGCCTTGGGGATTAGGATGGGAACGTTAACGTCGCCGTTTAACGCGGAAGATTCTCCCCGGGAGGAACTAATTTTAAATTTCATATCTTTCCTTAATCCATCCCCAGGGATGCATGAAAAAATAACCCACATTTCCGTTCGTGAAGAAATTATTTTACAGGATTAATAACAGTTCTTCTTAAGTCGCCTCATTAAATTGCTAGGTGCATCTGTCCGCAATTTCAATGAGCAATCGTTAATTCTGCCACTTCGAACGTTGATTTTCTTAGCGTTCTCAAAAATGGCGGCGGATACTCGGCGTCGGGTTCCTCGAGAGATATTTCCATCGCGTCAATTTGAGCCTTTAAAGTCTCAAAAAAAGAAGAAAGGCTTACGTGTCATTATCGCGCAATTATAAAAAATCACCCTTGATTTTAACGAACAATTAAACTTCAACCATTTCGGCCGTGCCTTTTCTTAGCGTTCTCCAATATGGCGGTGGAAACTCGGCGTCAAATTCTACCATAGATTTTTCTGTCTCGCCGATTTAAGCCTCAGAGAATGTGTAGAAGGCTCGCGTGTCATTTTCACGTAATCGAGGAAAATCATCGGCGACTCTTAGGAATTGGCATTTAGCCGAGAATCGTGGAGAAATGTCAATGGTCGATCTCGTCGATTCCCGATCGCACGTCTCGACTCTGGTCGGCGATTTCGTCGACGATTACCGTAGACGCGATTCGCGTTTTGATGAGGTAACGACGCGTTGCGTTGCACTTCTCTCGGGAGGTTTAAGAGCTCCTCTCTCGGGAGGAATGATACTTTAAGGGTAATCGCATCCCGGCTCGGGCAGTCTCGTTGTTTCTTCATTTCTCGGACCGCGACTGAAGTCGAGCTTCTCGGGAAGCCATTTTAGATAACCGGCACCTTCTGCCGGCCACTCTAGAATTTAGCGGCATTTAAGCAGCTCGCAAAATCGCTCTCTTTTCGCCGGCAACTCGGATTCTCCGCTTTTTCTTTGGCTGCGGAAAAACGAGAGCAAACCCTGCCTTTTCCGGGTCTCCGTCCTTTCCGCGTTTCCGACGTCGCTTTTCCGCCTCGATAATTAAGTACAACCGTTTGTTTCTTTTTCTCCTCTCTTAACCCTTTGCGATCCAACGTCGTCCTTGAGGTAACAATTCGACCGGCTAAGGTAAATGTCCCCGTGCAAACGGCTACGGAATGGAGATTAATTTCTATGAAAATTCGGACATAAAGTCGAATGGAAGTCGAGGAATTTCCTACCGATGGGATTTTTTCTCAAGGCGGTCGATTCGGCGCGACGGCATCGGCTGAATCACGAATCCGTCGAGTTTCGAAACGTCACGAGATCAATATTTCATGCGGTAGTCATTCCAGTAAAGTAGTATCGGTGCCTGCCCGTCTATTAGATTCCCCTGGCATTTACATTCCCGGCCAGCCATTTTGATCCGCGGGTCGTTTTACCACTTAACCTTTGCGTTACCGAAACCGGAAGTCGGTGCAGGACGTGTCAACCGTTCGACGGATTTTAGACGGCAATTTCCCCTCTCCTGTAATTTGGATTTTTTAATTACTTTAATTACTCCTTCGGGCGACAATGAAAGGCAGAAAGCGGTATCGCTAAGGAGTGTTCCGCGTTTTATATACTCCGCTCCTTCAATGCCGCGTATTCCATACAAGAAATATAACTCGACCTCGGTTCTGAAGCAGTCCGCGACGTGCAACACGGGTCCGCGAGAGATCAAAGAGAAATTGCAAATTAACATAAATTCAAAGTCTAAACCGTACACTTGGCCCTTCACGTGAAACAAGTTTTGCGTAGACGCCGAGCAAACGGCACCACCCCCGCGTTGCCTCAATCCGTGAGTCACTTTTCCTCCGTGAATGTTTAATGGGGAATCCGGCCGGTCGCTCGAAAATTCAGTGAGTGCATATTTCAGACCTTAATTGCGCAACGAGCCGATGAAATGAAATCATTTGGGATTTATCGGAAGCTTTGGTCGAGCGGCCCGACTAGGAACTGCTTCTCGACGAATTATGCGATCATCAGAGAATTATTCAGTCCGCTCGGTCTCGAAGCACTCGAGCGTCAACTATAATTAATCAAATTACTCGATCGACAGGGAATTAATCCGATCAATCAATCGCGTGATCCGATCGATTAGCTCCAAGACGTTCGATTAACGTTCCGCCGGTGAATCACCGGAATATCTCGGATGTAAATACCGAGCAGCACAAATATCGAAAATAGAATGCCATGTCAGGAAATAATCGACGAGGCGATCTCGCTTAAAAGCGCCGACTTGTGAAATTCCAGTCTCCGTCAGACTACTTTCAGAAATAAATTTCTATTCTCTGCAGCAGCTCGCCATCTCGCGCCGTTCACCGCCGTCCTGTGGACGGTGGTTCACCGGGTGTTATCCTTTTCTAGGACTATATCTTGTTCCTACACTCCCCAGGATTATGCAGTATACCGCCGCGATATACATATATCCCTCGGTACCCGGGAATTTAAACTTAAAAATTTCATCCGGTCGCTCGAAACTCGAAGGAAAACGCTCCACCCTCCAAACTCTCCCTGTTAACGTGAAACCATTTTTAATAATAAGCGAACGTTCATACGAAGTATTTGAAAATTATATCATCCTTATATCCTTAAATCTGGAGATACAGCAATCTTGGAGGACAACTTCTTCCGATGATAAGTGTGTTTTTCAAATCTCTTAGGAGATTCCTGAGACATCTTTTTGTCGTGTAGTATACATTTCACGCCGGTGGATCATTAAGGATAAATATCATTACTCGATGATACGCATTCCAAGATGGCCACGTAATGGCGCTCGCATGCGTAGGAACGCGTTAACATTTCATTTTTTTTCCTCCTTTAAATCACCGGATTTCCTCATGCCGATGTAACCCTCGTAAAAGACAAACAAAGAACGCCGTGAGAATTCCAGACTTTTTCTATGGGCAAGTTGAATAAAGTATCGCCAGGAATTGTTTCTTACTTTCCGTGGACCGAAAGTGTCGTCCTAGAAGGCTCACCAAACCTCTTACGTCACCGGTCAACTTTGCTCCCTAATTACCCAAAAACAATGATTCTTACAGAAGTAAGAGGACTTTTCGCGTTTTCCATCATTTACAAGGTATACCGCGGTGAAAGGTGCCCCGAGAAATTGAAATCGCCTTCTCTTGGCTTCTGCAATTAATGTCGCAGTAACGCGCGCGCGTAATTACCATCCCTCTTCATTATCCCATCCGCATAAATCAGGATTTCGATCCTACCTCGAAGGACTCGATCGCAAAAATTGAATTTCCACGCTGGATCTAAGAAACCCGACAAACCTCGGAAGAACGGACTAATTTCTAAGTAACCATAAAAATACGAAAATGTACACTCTGCAGCGTAACGATCCACATAATAATTAATAACATATCCTTTGCCTCTTTCGTTCACATTTAAATATCCTTAAGCATGCAATTACCTCGAAAAGTCCGTTGCAAAGAAAACTTCCTCGGTAATACACGGAACAACTCAATGCATTACTATTTAAAACATTTACACGAAGCCAGAAAGAACGAAGAAAAACTCCCGAGAAAGAAAATACAAGGAACGGTCGAAGTGAAACTCCTTTTCCAATTTTCCCCTGTGAGAGTAAAAAAAATTAACGCACCGACTAAGCCGTTACCCAAATAGTCTCGAATTCCAGCCCAGAAAGTCAAATAAAAGCAGCGATTAACCGTAAGAAAAAGCATCCCCTTCTCGAGTTTCCACAGGCGTGACAAAGAAGTTTCACTTCCGACCTTTCACAAGCCCGTTGATCGGGGGGTAAAGAAAAACCGGTCGGAGTCGCGTTTCCCGGCGATTAAATGCTTGGAGAGTATCGGGTGCGATGGGAAGTTGGAAAGAACGGAGGGAGAGCTCTTCCGCCAGCGAGGCCATTGGCACCCAAGAGCGAGTCGGGCCGATCCTCCCTCTTTGGAAGGATATCGAAGATGGAAGCAGAGATGCAGAGAGTAAATCGTCCGACTCACGTCCGAAGTCTGCAGCGGGGCTCCTCACGTCATGCCCCCTGGCGGCGGGCGGTCACTCTTCGCTCGGCCGGCAGAGAGCGTGCACCTCTCGGGCGAGCGCTTTCGGGAATCCACCCTCGGCCGGTGGTTGCCGCGCGGCGCGGGTCGGAAGAGGATGCAGCGCGTGGCGAGGGTCGGACGAGGACGGAACGATCAGAGAGGGTCGGACGAGGACGGAACGAGCAGAGAGGGTCGGACAAAGACGAAACGAACGGCGAGGGTCGGACCAGGACGGAACGAGTGGCAGGGTTGGACAAAGACGGAACGAACGGCGAGAAAGGAGGCGGAGGGAGAAAAGAGAAGATCGCCGCTCCCTCCTAAGGAGCCGCGGCCGGGCAGCGCACTCGCGATCCGGGCGATCTTGCGGTTGACCTTGCCACCGCCTCGAAGGGTAGTGACCTTAAGAGCTCTCCGAGGTTTATTCCTACTACTCGTGTTCTTCTTTCGCCTCGCTGCTGGCCACTCGGGCTTGCTCTTTTTCTCTATCCAGCCGCGCGCGGCCGCCGCTGGCTCCGGCCTATACCCCGGATAAGTGTGTACTGCGAAGTGGCCACCGCTGACAACCAACTGCGGATGGCGCGGGAGGGAGAGCCTGCCAGGAGCGCGCGCGAGAGTGAGAGAGAGAGAGAGAGAGCGAGAGACGCGCGGAGATAGAGGGGAAAAACGCGGAGGGAGAGAGAGGTACCCCGCCGGAAGAGGCGCGACGAAGAGGAGGGACCGCGGCCGAGAGAAGAGAAGGGGTTGAAAGAGTTCCCGGGAGGGAGGACCCTGCTCGGGGAAAGAGGGAAAGAAGGAAGAAAGAAGAAAGGGGAGCCCGAACGAAGGACTCGACTAATTCTTTCCCCTCGCGGATCGAGGATATAAGTACGTATTCACTACCTGTGAATTATTTACAAGAGGGTCATTTTCCTAGGGGGAGATTTCTTCACTTTGAAAGAGGACCACCTTGCTGTCTCGTCATCCTCCACTTGGAAGGTCCCATTTGGGTCTTCCCGATGGGAGGACTTCGATCGACCCGGACTCGGTGTTCGGTAATTTTAAGATCCTTGGTTGTAGATTCCTTGTCGTAGACCCTAGGTTTTCCTAAATGTAACCTTAATAAAATTGAGGAAGATCCCCTTGGCGTTTCTTAGCTATCCTTTTTTCGTGTTTTGTATCCGGAACCAAACGTTTCGTCAGGGTTGCGAAGATCCGTGATTAATTTCTGCGTCGAGGAGGAGGTGTCGAGTAAACGGGGGTGCTCGGTGATCCTCTTCGGGGTGCATTCGCGTGGGCATTGGAGTAAAATAACGGATGTCACTCGCGATCCCCTGCTGGCGTGTAGGACGGTCGTTCGTCAACAGGTATCCCGCACCTGCCGTTAACTGCATCGAGAAGGCGATGCAGTGCTCAGGTGAAGGCGGGCAACACGGTGGATCCACTCCCAGGGTTCACCTTCCTTCCCGTTATCGCCCCTTCTTCGTCGGTCCTGCGGGGTCTCCTGTCTTCCCTCTTCCTCCAGGGCCCCGGCGACCGGTCGTTCTTCTTCTCTCAACGTCATTAACGGCCGATGTCGTCCTCGTTCGCGTTCTTCTCCTTCTGCCTTACCCTCTTCTCCCGCGGCGCGCCCCCCGTCCTCTTCTTCGCTGCCTTCTTGTTCCTCGTCTTTTTTTCTTCCTCCTCTTCGACTACAAGAGATCCCTTCGACCAAGACCGAATCTCGGTGCAGTTAATGATTTATGCGGCGAATGGTAGCTGCCGAGGAAGATACGAGGCCCTCGGAACCCCCGTGCGTGTTCTTCTCGTTCCTCCTCGAGCTCGCCTTGTTCTCCTTTTGGAGCCCCTTCTTCCTTCGTCGCTCCTTCGGGTGAACCATAGTAATTCGTTAACGCAGAGACAATCGTTTTTTTTTCCAACGTAATGGCCTCGTTATTTTCCCCGTTGACGATGTCACCCGACTTTATTTTCCCGGATCACGAGGACCACGGCCTGATCTATGGCCCCCCATCTTTAATCCAATAGAAGTCTCTTCGTCCACCGTGGTGAAAAATGGAATTATTAATAACGACCTCGGCCGTGTCTCAGATTTCAAGTGATAAAACCCGGCGGAAGAGAAATGGGCTCTTTTCGTCGTGCCCTTCTGCTTGGATGCGATGTTTTACGATTTTATCGCCGCCTTCCTCTTCGTCTTCTTCCGAGGTCCTTGCGGGTTCTATTTCGCGTCTAGGACGCGATTAATGTCCTATTCGACAAACGGCAGCCGATAAGCCAACGGTAGTCGACTGTACCTAAGCGAGATACAGCCGACTCGGAGATCCGCTCCCCTCTTATTCTTGCTCATATTCCGCCCGGCTCTCTTCTCCTCTTCTTCAGGGTCGCCGTTTCTTCGGGTTGCTTTTTCCTCCCGATTAGTGCTTCCGAGCTCCGGCTTCCCTCGGACGAGCCGCGATCCTCGACTTTTCTCGATGTCGCTGACTGGGAATTTCTTTACGCTCCCCCTCCGTCTTCTTCACGGATGAACTCGGGAACTTCGATAAATGCCGGGGCTTAAACGGCGAGCTTTCATCCGGGCCCCAGAGAATTTAATTAAAAGGAAACCTCGGGTTATTGCGAAAGAAAGGAAAACGCAGTCCGACCACTGTTGATCCGCCTTTTTGGAGTCTCGGTTGTACACGAGCGCGACGCCGCCTCCGGAACGCGTCGAACTCCAAACGACAAACATGGCCGACACGCTGACCGACAATGGGAACGAACTTCGTGAAATTTTAAGGGCCTTCCGTTAGCCCGAAAGTGCCCCTCATTTTAACAGGCCCTGCATTCAGCTGCAATAAGGCCGTTGCAGCCATCGCGACCGAAAAAAGATCCAGGGAAACTTTCCAAAATGGCCTCCCGGTAGGCGTCCCTCGGTATTGAATTAACGGTACCTCACTTCGTCACGCGTGCTCTTAGAACGATTTCGATGGCCGAAATCCTGAAGAGGCCGTTCAAAAGTCGCCTCTTTGGGTCCCAGAAAGCGAGGTCCATTAAATCGAGCCGATATCGGAGCGGAAAACGATTTCCCGAGGGATCCTCTCGAGAGCCACGCGATGACCGATTCCGTAATCTCCGATTAATCCTTCCGCGACGCGGCGGTTAGTGCGTCCCTTCGTCTCGATTATCGAATTTATCCCCCAATGAAATATTTTCGGACGAGATAGACATTTCTCAAACGTCGGTTTTCGGCGACCTTGGAGTATCTCACGCGATCAAGCCTCAGTGAAATGCGCAAGTTCTGCAGAGCGGGTCCCAGCGATTAATCGAAACCGCTTTAACGATTAACGTCGCTGAACTCGCGATAACGAACTCGTTATTTTCCTGGTCCTCTGGCGTAATATATTATCCTCTAAAAATATATCGCATAGAATCCGCCCTTAACGGTGCTTTTGCGGCTTACGTAACACCCCGTATACAGTTAGATCCTTATTGATAGCTCCTTAAGAAAAGCGCTGAATCGTGTAACACGATCGCCGGTAAACCGGTATTCCTGAATTCTAGATAGGCGCCCAGATGAGAAGATCTGTATCTTGAGGTTTAACTGCCTGATATTCGTTACCCCGGCCTGAAGGGTCTTTAATTTAGAAGAGATGCATCGAGAGCCTCTTAATGCCACTAACGAGAGAAACGTCGAAGCCGGAAATTCGGAGAAATTCGATGCGTCGATACGCGTCGATTATCTATAGTATATGTTAATAATAATGAATTTCCTTTTCCCGCGGAAAATTATTCCGAGGAGTTGAACTATTACTTGGATATTGAAAATGATCTAGTAACTACCAGGTAATTTTCAATATTCCATGGGTAGATCTCGTCTCTATAATATGAACTCCGTGGAGCGACAAACATAAAGTATTAATATTTCAAGTGCATCCGTGTTTCATTTTAATTTTTCAGACGTTGGAAAAAATTCCACGGGTTTCAAATCAACGCTTGAATTTTATTCAAATTTCTTTTGACGTCGGAAAGATTTTCTCCTCCTAAGGAAGATTCTTCTGGGAGATTGAAGTGCCTCTAGGAAGAGTCAGGTGATTTTTAGGATTTTTTGTATTGATCTTATCTCTATGTCAATTTCACGGCTGAAGTGGCAAGTATGGGAAATAAATGTTGCAAGTGAATCTGTATACTTTTACTTTATTCCGACATTTTCCAGGCTTGAAGTCCTCCCTTGAATATTATCTAAATTCCGAAGAAGAGGTGGCAGAGGAGCGACGATCTGGCGTTTCCGTTTCCCGACTTCGAGGCGAACACCTTCGTTCCCTTTGCGGAGAAAAAGAAGACGAAAAACCGAGAAGACGGAAGGAAGGAAAAACTCTGGAGGTTCGTGCGACTTGATAAACAGCCGACCTCGCGTGACTGGTCATAACTTACAGTTTACCGGTGGTGTTGGGGCCGGGTTAATATTTAACCACGGTTTAACGGCACGGTTCAGAGGGAAGTGCACTCGGTGCATTGGACTGCACTGACCCTGGAACAACTTGTCGGCCGAAACTTCGTTCCCACATTTGACGGTCACTCCTTTCCGGAAGTACTGGTGTAGACATTGCATTCAAGGTTTCAACTAGTACCTTAATTATCAATCTAATCAGCGGTCCCTGGCCTATGAATTTCAGTAAATTAGTGTACTTAATTTTCACAAGACCCCCTTTTGCAATCCTATAAAGGACCGTTGCATTGCGACAAGCCGATTTACCGAAACTTTGGAAAAGCATTTCACATCCTACGCGTAAAACTGGAGCAGAATTAAAAAATGGAAAGACCCATTTTAGCACACTGTCAGACCTAAATACGAAGTGGTTCGCAGCTTGGAACGTTTTTGGAGGGCTTTTCCTAAGCTTTTGCCGTATACGCATTTTTCATGTCATCGTTAAACATTTTCCCCACTGCATGCAGAATACGTTATCAGCAACGTGTCAGTCTCGGGCCGACGTTTAATCGATATTTTTAAACCGAGTGAACTCTCTCGTGAATGTCGATAATGAATGAATCGACCTTAAATGCCATTTTCGTCGGTCAAGAAGTTGTTATTATTTCTGAAGCTATATACCCGCGTAATATCTTTGGTGATAAATGGAAATACCTCCACGGGGCCGAGTTAACGTCAACTGCGACTTACTAGCGTTACTCGGAGGAAAGTGCACAAGGTGCATTGGACTGCACTGACCCCCTGGAATAACGACTCCGAAAAAATTTCTTTCTCACACTCGGCGACCATTCTTTTCCGGAAATACCGGCGCGAACTACATACTGACGCTTAATTCATTTTAATTAAACGTGGCGACCCC